CGTCACGACCCCATTAAAATACAAAGTAAGGCTGAAAGCTAACTCTTCTGGATCCGAAATCTCGTAACTTTACAAAATGCTGGTGTAAGAGAAAAAGTGCGGCTGCTCCAAGAATAAATGCTTTTTTCGCACTCCTTTTGCACTCGAGAGTGCAGGCTCCAGCGATCGCGACCGTGCCATTAGAATCAAAGTTCACAGCTGCATATCATTTAATAAAAACCACAGAAATTTTTTGTGTTCACCAGAAGGAAAAATTTTAATTAACAGTGATGTTCAAACCTAGAAATTTGTGCCAAAGCTAAACTTCATTGCTGCAAAACACACCTTTTGGTGATCTTAAAAGAGCAATATAGTGTCAATTTCTCTTTTGCACCTTTTTAAATATACATACATATTCAATATCTGGTTCTTTATTCAAAGACAAGTTTTTGTCTTATTTGTATTTTATTCACGAAAAATCTTAATACTCACTCTCCTTTTTTTATTTTCTTGCATTAAGAGCTCTGCTATCACGAAGGAATAACTCACACAGGCTTTTCCCACATTGTTAGCTCAGAATGAGGCCTCTATTGCTTAGGCATTAGCACTGATGCTAATGGCAGATTGTGCCCTAATTTTGAGACAAACACTTGCGGTCAAGTCTAGTTATTGCCCCGCCATGGTGGTCTAGCAGCTAAAGTACTCAGCTGCTGACACGCAGGTCGAGGCATCGAATCCCGGCTGCGGTGGCTGCATTTTCAATGGAGGCGAAAATGCTGTATGCCGGTGTGCTCAGATTTCGGTGCACGTTAAAAAATCCCAGGTGGTAAAAATTTCTGAAGCCCTTCACTCCAGCGCCTCTCATAATCATATGGCGGTTTTGGGACGTTAAACCCCACATATCAATCAATCAATCAATCAAACCTAGTTATAACGAAGTAGCGTTGGGACCATAAATTAGTTTATTATATCTGATCTTTGCTGTAAAAATAAATATAAAAAACAGCTTAATTAAACAGATGAGCAATGTATACCATGCAAAAATCCTAGGTTGCAATTCTAATTATTCTATGCTTCAGACCCACTATAAATGAAATTCGCTTTTTTTGCACTTGGTGACTCGAAATTTTACAACTTCTTTTAATGACGTTTATAAATGTGATTGTGAATCATTATTCAATATTTATTTTTGCTTTTTATTGGAGCTGTGTGAATAAATTTTGGGTGCAAAGCAAATTCAAATATTGAACTGTGAGTTCAAACAAAATAGAAAATTTTTTCAATATATTTTGAATATTCCTAGAGTGTTTTTTCTAATAGTTTGAAGCGAAACTGCAGAAAAAACAGTTGGGGAGTATTCCTAAGCATATTCTTATCAAATAGCAACGTGAAAGTTTTTTTTCGCTAAGTTGGTGTGGTGTTTCATAGATGTCTTATCAAGAATGAGGCAATGCAGAGGCCTAGTTGCATTTATGCGCACGATTTAGTGCAACCAAAGTTTGCCGACAGCACTTTATACGTGAAATGCAAATGTGCTCATAATACTATTTCCTCAGTCTCCCCTCCTCTTGCAACTTCTGTGGAAGCTCAACTGATATGGTGGACAAGGGTGTTTTTTCTTCAAATCTGTAGTTCCAAATCGGTGTCATAGATGTCAGTAAAAATAACACTGAAATTTCGAATGCTAAAAATTTTCAGCATCCAATAGTACATTCAGCTCAGAGCTTACGTTTCCAGAGTATTTTGTGCTGAGTGTACCATTGGCAGCTTCCACTAAACTCTTTGATAGTCTATGATCATTCAGCATTGCTATGCACGTTACCAGCTCAGCTCCAGCAATATCTTTTTGAGGCTGCTTGTAATTGTATACAAGCCCCATCGAAGTTCCAGCCATCCTGCCAGTCCATTGCTCATCAAGCCGCACAAACCATTCGAGTGCAGTGTATCCTCCACCAGCCCAAAGCACCGTGACTCTTCGCTCCTTTTTTGTGACAACCGCATGGGACTGGAATCCTCTGTCTGCAACTACCGTGCATCACTCCGACCCGCATCAACTCAAGATTGCCCTCGAATCACTTTTTTGATTCTGTAATTAATACCCATCCCTCATGTAATACCCCAGCTGGGGCCTTTGAGGTATTCAAGATAAATAAATAAATAAATAAATAAATCTGCAAAATACTGCACTGACCTGTATGTTTATTACATATCAACACTGGACCGGATACTAGCCTTCCCCGGCTGTTGGTCCGAATATCTGTATATGCATTATCATAAAAATAAATAAAAATAGTGCACTTGCAAAAAATGCCTTTGTCCGACATGCAACTTGAGTCTCTTTTTTCAGTTTGCATATTTTGCTATCAACAGGCTATGCCATTCACGAAGTGCCATTAGAAGAGGTTTAGTAAGGCTCCCTGTGTGCTTGATGAAATGACTTCATGGAATCAAAGTGTGTATGTAGCCTTGTTGGCAATGTTCTGGGAATGTTGAGTCAGAGCTAGTTTTAAAACCCTTATGCTGTCTTGCTAGGAAGCGCAGCCACTATTACACAGAACACACAACACAAGCGCTTAAGCGCTTGTGTTGTGTGTTCTGTGTAATAGTGGCTGCGCTTCTTAGCAAGATGGATCCTTACCAACTGGCCCGATACAATTGTTTATTGCCTTATGCTGTGATTCCAAATGTTATAGATAAAAATGTCTTGACATTTTATGGGTTTGCATGTTGAACTATTCCAGGTTCAGTTTTTAATGCCCCCGCCCCTTGTGTGCGTGTGTGCATGTGCACGCACATATGTTGGCGTGTGATGATCGGTCCTGGTTATCCTATGGCAGTGAATAGATGTATTCTAAAATTCATGCTATATGCTACCTTTACCTGTAAAGTAGTTATTTGGAAATGTTATGTAAGGTACCTACTGATAAGGAATCGATATTTCAACCAATTACAATTTACACTCTATTTTCACATGAAATGGACAGACAGTGGAGTCAAGGAAGGTATAGAGGGAGGTTAATTGTTTGGGGTCTTTAAGTGTAGTGTAGTAAATATGAAATAAAAGTAACAGCTTTGCTGCAAAGGCGAAGCAGTGAACGCAATAGCAACAAATTGGAAGCTCACACGAAGAATGGAAAACAGATAAAAACGTGCCCCGTGTTTCTCACGCACAAATGACGCGTGAAACGTAGACACAGGTATAGAGGAATGCAAATAGTGCCTGAAAAGCGTGCCCTCTTCACAAGCGGAGATTGTGCAACGAGTGCAGTGACCTTTGTGCACCCGGTAACTTCAACAGAATCGTTCCTGAAAGCCCTAGGCACACGTGTGATCGTCCACCCGGCCCCTCTCCGTGGGGCAAAGTACATGTTTGAGATGAGAGAGCATGCCACCGGGTCGTGACGATCTGGCAACGCACGCTTATTGAACCATCTTGCTGGTAATGCTTAAAACACGATAGTTCCCCCCCCCCCCCCCCCCCGAGATGCCCATTGCCAGCGGTAAGTGGTAGATATAAATAGCTTGCCGCTTGAACGTTGGAAAGAGGTGCTCCTTCGTGGCTCAGTGGCTAATGCCTCGCACTCAGAATTTAGAGGTCGGACGTTCAATTCCGCATGCCGGTCTTTTTCTGGATTGTTTTTCTTGCGTTTTCATACTATAGATACGTAGTCGAGAGTTCGACGGAATGCCGTCTGGTCAGGTAAAGGCATTGTTGAATAAAACAGGTCACTGACCAATGTCAAACAAAACAAGACGTTTCGGGACCCGTACGGGTCCCGAAACGTCTTGTTTTGTTTGACATTGGTCAGTGACCTGTTTTATTCAACAATACTATAAATACGTATACATATACAATGAATGTCGGCGACACCCACGCTGGCGGCAATATCCAGCATAGAGTGTCCATATAATTTGTATTGAGATAAAATGGAAAGAAATCGAAGGGTACAAAAAGCACCTTTGCCTCCTGTAGTGGCTAAACTTACAAGCTTCGGGTAATGTATCCAATGCTCTAGCAGCCGTTTGGCTACAGCAGGGGTGGCTTTCTTGTCTATTTATTTGGTATTTTTGTACATGTAGTTCTGGGAGTGTTAGCTAGTGCCGCCCGTAGCCACAATAGCATGTGTGAAACACATTTTATTGTCAGGAGGCACCTACAATACGTGATCTCTTTATGAACTGGCAGCAGACCAATAAACCCTCATACAGTACCTAGGAGCATCAAGTCTGCTAGATTGAAACCCTCGGTATGAATGAATGAAAGAAGGGAAATGGATCAAGGGCTATTCAACCAAAAAACAAGCCTTTGATTCATTTTTACTCATACTTTTTCACGTATAAAATTTGATTGATATGATTTGATTGATATGTGGGGTTTAACGTCCCAAAACCACCATATGATTATGAGAGACGATGTAGTGGAGTGCTCCAGAAATTCTGACCACCTGGGGCTCTTTAACGTGCACCCAAATCTGAGCACACGAGCCTTCTCGTGTAAAAGCATGCTACTAAAGTTATATTCGGTGCAGGGAAGTTCACTTGCTGTACATGACTCTTCATTATGCCGTAAAGAAAGAGAAAGAAGACAACCACCTATTTCTGGTCGTCTTCTTCCCTTTCTTAACCTTTCTGTCACCTAGAGGGTTTCCCCAGAATTCATTTCGAATACTTCATTATGCCATGTGACTGAATTATAAGATCTAATTTTGATGTGGAATATGTTCAGGAAAATGGCAATGGCAGGTAATATTTTTGTATGGAGGCTTTTAGGATATACCAAATCCACAGTTGATCTAGTGAGACCTTCGAAGGTAACAGTATTTTGTTTCGTTATACTTTTTTAAATTTTCCTGTCACATTTTAGGAAATTATGTGCTGTTCAGAATGAATAACTGTTCTCCTAGGTTGTCAAGCGTGTTAAATGCATAAAAATGAGCACGTGTAATGTATAAAAATGCACTTGTCCTTGCATGTTTTGTTATGTTCCAACTGCCAGCTTTATATAGCTGTTTCTTTTACAGAAAGGTGAAGTTGACAGCTCAGGATGTTCCACGATGTCTACTGGAGCTGCTGTGTACAGCCACTCCCTGTTACAGCTGCAAAAAAATTGTGATCCCAGCAGCAGCACTTAGTGTAATCCTTAGCGTGGACCTCTCCCGGATGGTTTCTTCCTGTGGTACATTTGTGCGCGGCTCTGCATCAGACATTATGGTGCCTGTGCAAGCAAATATCTGCTCTACCAGGTGTCTCCCTCAATGAGGTCAGCAGCGTGTAATGTTGCTTGTCTTGAAACACAACATATACGACTTGTGATAAATTGAATATATGCAGTGTTCGTGGTGTGAAACACTTTATTAGTGGCCATAATCATAGTGTTATGGCATGGTTATCTTAAGCACTGGAATATACAGGTTTTCATACCTAATATCTTGATGCCATGTTTCATTCCGCGAGCACTGTTCATATATAGGTATTGTACCATATAAATATTGCATTAAAGTAATTTGTGTTAATGAAAAGGGTTTATGCTATATTTTCAAAATTTTCTGACAAGTGCTTAAAGCATTGTGCTTTCTGAGTCAACTCATGCATGGATGCAAATATATTTGTGCTCTCATTTCACATGGGCATACAGAAGACCTATTATATAATAGAACAATGCAACACAGTGCAGCAGATTTTTTTAAGAAAACCCTTGTTGTCAACTTCCATGATGGTGTCCTTTGTTCCGCCCATGTCCTTTAGTGTATAAGTTTAAACAAATACTTTTATACATGCATTTCATACGGGCTACTCCGCAATAGACCATATTCATGCTATCAATCAGGTAACAGAAAAATGTGCGGAATGCAACCAACCCCTATACATAGCCTTCATAGATAAAAGAAGGCGTTTGACTCAGTCGAGACATCAGCAGTAATGCAGGCACTACGAAATAAGGGGTTCGAAGAACCCTACATAAAATGCTGGAAGAAATCTACAGTGGATCCACAGCCACCATAGTTCACCATAAAGAAAGCAACAGAATCCCAAAAAAGAATGGTGTTAGGCAGGGAGACACGATCACTCTCATGCTATTCACTGCATGTTTGCAGGAGGTTTTCAGGACCCTAGATTGGAAACAGTTGGGGATAAGAGTTAATGGAGATTATCTTAGTAACCTGCGATTCGCTGATGACGTCAATTTGATAAGTAACTCGGGAGACAAATTGCAGCTCATGATTACTAAACTGAACACGGAAAGCAGAAAAGTAGATCTGAAAATTAATACGCACATAACTAAAGTAATGTGCAACAGTCTTGGCGGAGAACGGCACTTTGCGATAGGTGGAGAGACGCCGGAAGTTTCAAACGAATATGTCTCTTAGGACAGGTAGTAATTGCGGAGCCGAACAATCAGAGTGAAATAACCAGAAGGATAAGGACGGGGTGGATCACATTCGGCAAGCATTCTCAAATCATGAATGGTAATGTGCCACTAACCTTCTAGATGAAGGTATATAACAGCTGCATCTTGCTGGTACTTACCTACGGAGCAGAAACATGGACGCCTACAAAGAGGGTTCAGCTCAAATTGAGGACGACGCAGCGAGGAATAAAAAGGAAAATGATATCTGTAACTTTAAGAGAAGAAGAGAGCAGAGTGGGTCAGGGAATAAACTGGGGTTAAGGATATTGTCACAGGGTCGTGACGTGGACAAATAACGGACAGTTTGATGAAGGTGAAACTGTTTTTTTTTTTTTGGGGGGGGGTGGGGGGGGGGCAAACTTGTGCCCGGTAAGCAGAAAGCCAGATCACAGTGGCAGACCTGCACTGATAGCGGCGAACGGATTGTCAGCCGTCGTTCAACTGACAAGCGGCGAAGCGCGTCGGCATTTATACACTTGCCATCGAATGTTCTAGCGTTATCGCTAGCGGTGACATAGGCTCCAGAATAATCTGTATAGTTCGTGGAGTGGGTGTGCCCTTATAAAAATGACCTACTACAGTCCTGAAGCTTCTCGAAGACTGCAGGTGCCATTTGCGCTGAGAATTACATAGTGTATTGGGGCGATAACAAAACTTGAAAAAAAGAAAAATCAATGTGGCAATATCATAGTTGAAATCAAAAAGAAATGGACATGGGCTGGGAATGTAGCACATAGGCAGGATAATCTACTGGTCATTAAGGGTAACTGACTGAATTCCCAAAGAAGTCAAACGCACGAAAGGGAGACAGAAAGTTAGATGGGTCGATGAGATTAAAGAGTTCGCAGGTATAACGTGACAATGGAAAGCACAAGACCGAATTGATCGGTGGATCATTGGAGAGACTTTTTCCCTGCAGTGGGCGTAGTCAGGCTGATGTTGATGAGTATAAAAATACCTGTAAAAATATGAACAAGTTGGCATAACTTGTTGTACCACTCAAAAAAGAAGTTTAACCAGGAGCTGCATTCCAGTTTTGCTTGCTATTTTGTATTTTTGAGACTCTAGTATGCAGTCCTTGAAGAAGCATGGGACAAGGTTTTTGGTGAGAAAATGTCGAGAAACTCCAGACTTCACTGCCAGAGCTCCACCTAAGCAAAAGAACCTATGAGAATCAGCATGCTGAATAAAAGTGGCCACACATTCAAATGGAAAAGTGTTGAGGCACAAGAAATAGCTCTGGTAAAAATTACCATGTTACCACTGCATTTCACTGAATATATTGAAATGAGATTGCTTTTCTCCAGAAAGCTGAGACTGTTGCAATGCCTGCCTTATTTCTGGTTTGATGATTTTGGATCCCACATGACGTGCAAAAATTTGATGGTGCATAGCCATGTCTACTGATGTAAAGGTTTAATTGCAATAGTATTAAGTGTAGTAGAAATTTAATTCATACTTGACATTCTCATGAGGTGCACGACCAGACATTCTAAGAAAATGCTAAATGTCCATAGTCTTTCACAGCAAGTAGAGGATTATTTTTGCAAACAACTCATTGTTCTTTGAAATTTGACACAACCAGTAAGGTAAAGTTTGGTGTAAGGATGGCTACAGGTCTGCTAAGTACCACGTTTGCCAAAGTGTCAGCAATCTCATTATCTGCAAGTCCACAGTGTCCAGCAATCCAGAGAAACCAACTTTCTTTAACACAATTCTGAATGACAAAGTGAAGCAATAAGTACAGTAGTGAAGTTTTAGTACTTTTGTTACTGTACTTCTTCAGTACAGTAATACAGTAAGAGAAATTGTGGAGAGGAAGCAGTACTATTTTCTGCAGTCCTTTAGGTGGTCCTTACCAGTGCCTATCGTTCCTTAATAAAAACATGACAAGTATCTCAAGGTGTGTGAGGGCAAAAAAGGAGGGAAATAAAAACATGCATGAAAAAATAAAAATGCAAGTTCGCAGCTTTGTCTTGCTTCTGATTCACACCAGTGGGGAGGCTCTCTAGTTCAGGATTCGGCAGATTGGCAAGTCCACATAGTGATGAGCGAACACAAATACTCAGTGAGCTCACTAAATAATGATTAGAAATAAGCGACAGTCATTGGCTGGTGTACATATGCAAAATTTTTCCAGCTGAATTTGCCACCACACTACTAAGCAAGTTACTTTTGACCAGGAGCTACTGTTCCTGCCTTTGTATCAAAACATTGGCTACAGGTCAAAGGCTTTTGACAGAGACTTTCGTTACTACTCCATTGTTGATGATCAATTCAAGTGTTTGACATTCTGTGACCCTTTGGTGCTACACACTGTAGGTAAAGCCTTAGTTTTATTTGTGAAGCTTACTGTTTCAGTTATTGCCAATTGACAATATAGCAAGTCCAATAGATTAACAAAAACAACCAGACATTCTTGCAGTCCTATTTGCCACACTAAATGCCTGTATGTTTTGTTTTGTTTTTCTTTTTTTCGCCCACAGTGCATCACAAGCTTTTTTGTTAGGCTTTTTCTTCACTGTAGCATTTGCAGTGCCCTTGATGCATATTAGTGTGTCCACGTTTTACATCACATTTCCACAAGCACTTAGTGGTGCAAAACATAGCAAGGAACCTACTACTTCACATAAAAATGTGGTTTCCTCTGTGGCTTTCTATACTTCTGATGTTTTTTGTGACGAATTTGCATATTCCACCAACAAATGGTCATTGGCTGGATTCTTTTGAATCTCACAAATGTGATAAGTGATGGGTCACCATCATCATCGGCATGCCTATGCGCACTGCAGAGCAAAGGCCTCTTCTATTTCTCTTCAATAAACCCAATGCCCTGCTTTCTGTGGCTACGTTATACCCGCAAACTTCTAATCCGCCTGTCTAACTTTCAATATGGCCGTGATAATTAAAACCAAGGAAATCACAGATTTCTGTAATAGTCGCAACAACCAGGACGATAATGGAGATGGTAGTAGTGCAGAGAATTCAGAAATCTCACCAGTAATGGCAGAGGAATTAAAGTAAGCTCTGGTAGGAATGCAAAGGAGTCAAGCAGCTACTGCAGGTCAGTTAACAGCAGATTTATTGAAGGATAGCAAGTGTAATGTTCTAGAAAAACCGGCCATCGTGTATATGCAATGCTTTTCCCAAGTGAGTGTGAAAATTATTACGATACCAATGATATGAATACTTTTGGCTGATTTTTGCCGTCATCGTCATGTCCCATATATATATAATATATCCCTACCGGGGATTTGAACCAGGGACACCTCGCTCCACTGCGCGCTGCATTAACCAACTAGGCCGTGCCGCTCATACTATCCATCTCACTAACGTCGACCTATATATATATATATGCACTATTTATCACTTGGTTACAGTCAATGAGCTTAAAAAAATTATTCTTGAACAAAGCTTGTATTTTAAATAGCTTGAAGAAAGCTAAACCTGTCTCGCTTGTAGTTATGCAGCACGAAAAATGAGAAAGCAAGTTCCACCAAAAGGTTGCCGTCTCATTGTTTTACTTGTAGCGCCATTTATTGATATTTCAAGAAGAAACACACGCTTGTAATATATGGCATCTGTGATTTAGCATTCTTGGTCACATGTCCTTGAGGCCACATGTTCAGCAATATAGCCATTTCTACTAAGCGTCCCGATTAACCTGAGTGCAGTTCTCGCAAACAGCTGACAATCCTCCGTGGTGGCTGGGATCCATATATGAAGGAACAAGCAAACAAGGAAGCTTCTCCCACCATCCAGCTGCTTCCGGCGTCAACGCCCACACTGCAATATCTGAGACAATCCGTGGTGGACGTTTTGGTAAAGTGCATTGGAACTGTACTTTTTACAACCATCACCGGTATCGTCATTGTCGACTGACGCCAAGGAAGAAAACGCCGGCGAAAACCCTGCATGTAGTTCAGCCTTTCTGATGCCGCCGCATGTTGTACGAACATCTGTGGAACAGCTCGGACGGAATGCTAGTCGCGCTGAAACAAGGTGGGCTCGCATACGTGCTACAGCACGGGAAGAACGTGCTGCTGTGGATGCGAAAAACACTGCAGCTCAATGCACATATTCACTAGATTTCGTATGGTTTTTAAATAC